TTCGCATCCTATCGCCCAACTCTACCCTCGGACCTCAAGTAAAATTACGGCATTAACCTATCAGCGGTCCTCACCACCGCCCAACGACAGCATAAAAGGAGCCATACAGCATCTTCACATTAAGTAGCCCAGCTCACTTGCAGTACGACAAGAAGCTGTAAATAATGGCTTGTGGTTCTTCTTCATCTTCCAGACACTATCCCATCCTCCTCTTTTCTTTGCTCCTTGTTATCGCTGGTAGCACTGCCGCCGCTGCTTCGTGCGACGCCGCTGACCGTGCTGCTCTTCTTGAATTCCGATCAGCTCTTTCCGATCCCTACATCGGAGTCTTCTCCTCCTGGGCCGGCAATGACTGCTGCTCCAAATGGTACGGCGTGTCATGCAACCCAGAATCTGGCCGCGTCGCCGATCTCATTCTCCGTGGTGAGTCCGAAGACGAGATCCTCATCCGGGCAGGCCGATCAGGGCTCATGACCGGTCGAATATCACCGGCGATATGCCGCCTCAACAGCCTTTCGTCTCTAATCATCGCCGACTGGAAGCAGATCTCCGGCCCTATTCCTCCCTGCATTACCTCTCTGGCTTCACTACGAATTTTAGATCTCGTCGGTAACCACCTCTCTGGCACTTTACCAGCCGACATTGGCAAACTCTCCCATCTCACTGTCCTCAACGTCGCCGACAACCAGATTTCTGGGTCAATACCTAAATCCCTAACCCAGATTACTGGTTTAATGCACCTCAACCTTGGCAATAACTACTTAACCGGCTCAATCCCCTCCGATTTCGGCAATTTGAAGATGCTTAGCAGGGCTCTACTTGGCCGGAACCAGATATCAGGTGAGATTCCATCCTCGATTAGTAACATGAACCGCCTCGCTGACCTAGACCTTTCGGAGAACCAGATTTCGGGATCTATTCCCACTTCTTTCGGATCGATGCCGGTGCTCTCCTCGCTCTACCTCGACAGCAACCGCCTCTCCGGCGAGATTCCGGCACAGGTTCTGGGGAGCAAGGGTTTGAGTATTCTGAACCTGAGTAGAAACTCAATTGAGGGTTCGATCCCTGATGCGTTCACATCGAGATCGTACTTCACGGCCATAGATCTATCGCACAATAAACTCACCGGAGATGTCCCGAAGACTTTGCTTACAGCGGCGTTCGTCGGCCATCTTGATCTGAGTCATAACCATCTATGTGGTCGGATTCCGACGGGGTCACCGTTCGATCATCTGGTGGCGGCCTCGTTTGCCAATAATGATTGTCTCTGTGGGTGGCCGTTACAGTCCTGCAAGTGATTAGTTTGCAACGGTTAGGAAATCATGACCGTTGGGTTAGGGTTGGATGGTGATGCTGTATGAGCAAGTATTTTTTATGTGTTTATTTATGATTATTGATATGCATGGAATAAAAAAAAAAAAAGTGAAAATTAATGAAACGGATGACGGTCGGTTGTACTGCAAGTGGAGGTGTCAGGGAGTTCACAGCTTTATGCTTTGAGGTCTATGTTTTTCATTTGTGTAGAAGTATTATTATTATTTTTATCATTTTTTTGTCATATCTAAAACTTATTGGTGATAACAGGCCAGTGATGCTCATGTTTTCTTTTATTTTGTGGAATGAGGGAACTCGAAGGAGTGAATCACAGAAAGGTGTTGTAAATCGTGCAACAAAATATTTTAGCCAATCATATGCCTCTAAGTGAACAAATGCACTTGATGAATAATTGAAATTTGTTTCGATTAATAGTCCAACATATTTGTTCGAATTCATAAATAAGTTTGAAAAAAAATTCAAAAGTTTGGAACTTATTTAAGTCTAATTGAATATGATCCACCTGCTTTATTAGTGTTCAAGAACAAACTCTTTTTTGTTTAATAATACAAGTTAATATTTATATGACTTATTATTTAAATAAAATTTTATTTAGTGCAACTTGTTTAATAATATAGTTAATAGTAATATATTATAGTTTCAAATAATATACACATAAATCCTAGGTTTTTTTTATTCTTTTGTATCAATAAATTAGTATGTTAGTACTTTTATTATTTAATAAAAAAATAATAAATTT